ATCTCATACTAGATAAGAACTCAGGGTCTCTGTGCTAGTTTTCTTTATTGCTCTGTTACCAATCAACATACACTCAGCAGTTTAAAGCAACACATGTTTCTTATGTTACAATTTTACAATCACCGGCTTGAATTCAGAACATTCAGCAGGCTCAAATTTGGACCCACCGGCAGCCTTCAGCTGCTGCACATGCGACCCCCACCACACCTCTCGGGTTGGTCTAGGACAATACCCTTAGTGGACTGACTCCCTCCCGAGCTGTGGCACAGGTGTGTTTAAATGAAGACTAGCTCCAGCACTTCTGTAAACCCACTCGAGATTCATTTCTTAGGTATGGGCTTGGAAAGTCTTGTAAATCTACTTAGGATTCTTATCCTGTGTAGTGTGGACAGAGCGGTCACTTTAAGAAAAAAGCCAGTGGGACGTGGCCAGGTGAGGCATATGCCACCTTTGGGACTGGGATGGAAGGCTGGGCATTGGCTCCTCTATCCTTTCTTTTCCCTTCTGTTTATACGGAACCCATGACAACCTGCTTCCTGGAATGTAGATGAAAATAAAGACCCAGAGCCTGGTGGAACAGTACACTGCACCCTTGAATGGCCAACAGATGCTGACCTTGAGCATTCTCTCAAACTCCTGAGGGGAAAAGAAGCTTAGCCTCCTTAAAGCTACTGAATTAGTGTTGGGTCTTCTTGGTAGAGCCACCCACCCTTATTTTATTTAGTATTCATTGAATTTTAAAGGATATTCTCTTTCAAATTTTTCTACAAAGTTTTATGACCAAGAGATGTTCATTTTTTTGATAATTGCAACATCTATTGTTAATGTAGTTTATCAGGTATCATTTATATTCTGTGGCTAATAATGCTACCTTTTAAATCTATTTTGTTATTTCTTCTAAATCTAACTCATAGTTGCTTATTTACTCTTGTATATATTTCTTTAAATTTTGGATTCCTGTTTGAAGTTTGATTGAATTAAATTTTTTAAAAATTTAAGAGGTCCAAGTTGAGGATGTTGCTCCTTAGGGTAGATTTGCATATTCTTGTCTCTGGTATTGGAGCACTGTTACTCTTCTAGAACCTTATTTTTTAGCTTATAGTTTTACCCAGTGGGCTGTATTATAAACTTGAATTCCAGTCTCACATTCTCATGGGAAGATTCATTAAGATAACATTTTTTTCTACCCAGAAATGTAGGAAAGACATGGATTTCTATATTGAATCTGTTCCACAGAGGGTCCTGGCTCTCTGATTGTCTCCCAGTGTTTGCATGTGGGAAACCTGGCTTCCAGGGCCTTATGAGTATAAACCATTTGACCTTAGGGTAGGGTTGTCAGATAACACACAAGTCACCTGGAAAAATAGCATTTGAATTTCAGATAAGCAACAAATAATTTTGTAGTGCAAATATGTTCTCTGCAATATTTGTACCACTAAAATTCAAGTTTAGCTAGGTGTTCTGTATTTTTATTTTCTAAATCTAACATCTGACATTTGCTTTTCATATCTTTCTGGTTTTGACTCCCTGCTTAAGTTTTCGACTATCTATTAATATTTTGTTGTCATTGTTGTAATTGATCCAGCATTAGATATTTAGTGGTGGGATGTTTGTTGGAGAATATCTAGCCTACCCTCTCCCTCGAACAGGTTCTCCACCTTCTGTTTCAGTATGTCGGTATGTTCTGTTGATATGTTTGGTCTTGGAGCTCAGCCTAACCCCATAAGGTATGACATATCTCTTTGTAGGATAAGCTCTTTTGATTTCAAGGAATATTTATAACAATTCAAGGAAACAAATGTTTTTTTGGGTACCAGGGATCGAACTCAGGACCTTGTGCTTGCGAGGCAGGCAGTGGAACCATTGAGCTAAATCCCCGGCCCAGCAAATGTTTATTTTAAGAAAATAATTTTAGCTAGATTAATCCTCTGTGCTATGTTTCCTAATATACTAGGAATACTGGAAACACAAAAGGGTCACTTCTTTCATATTTTAGACCTAATATAAATCTCCCAACCTCTAGAAACTTATATGCTAGAATCTTTCCTGCTTACTATATAAGTGGTCCCAACTGAGTATAAATTATTTAATCTTTATGGAACTGATGCTTCACCAAATGAATGGGTGTGTTTTCCCTTTACTGTAAAAACTGCATTCTTCATTCCTTAGGATGGAAGTCGCCCCTCTTAATTTCTCAGCATTGATCCATGAGCACCCACCTGTGCCTTCAGCTTCTTCCAGTCTAGATAGGAACTAGAACTGGAAATCTGTGAGATACTGGAGAAGCTCTAGGGGAAATTATTTCATGATCTCCATTCCAGCTCCTACACTGGGCATCTCTCATGCCAATTCTGCTCTGAAATATATAGATTCAAGCCCTTCTCTATATTCCACAGTCCAAATTACAAGGAGAGGGAGTTTGTTAGTTTCCTGTATTCCTATTATTACAGTGTTATGCTTTGGTCTCATGTTGACCTTGGTTATGGGCTTCCCGTTGAAAAAATCACTGGCCATGGCCACTAATGAGTTTCCTGTGACCTCTTCCCTGAGGTGGAGGCGGGAGGAAATTTAAGGTGGAAGGGCATCTGGGCTGACGTGTCCCTAAGGGCTCAACTGAGGTCCCCTCTACCACTCATGGTGTCATCACATCTTCTATGCTTCATAATGTTGTCACATCCGAGGAAGAGGTGATTCATATTAAACAAATGAGGCCATTGGAGTAGGAGCACGCTGAATGGAAGCCCAGGCTTGGTGAGGAGGTGAGAGTCACAGGGTGGTGTGACTCTTTCACAGTGGTAGGTGTTTGTCCCACTGTAGAGGACACTTGGAGTCAGAAATGCTAATTACTTTCTCCATGGCAACTAACCCATTAAAGTCCTTGTCACAAATTAACTGCTTCAGTTCCCCAAATCACCCTGTCAGTAACTTTAGCAATATGTGTCCACTATTGTTTGGAGCAAGGCTATCTGCCATGTATGTCTGTTCATAAAAACTGGGCAGAGAAACTACTCTGTGTGGAGATTTATGGCTGGGTTCTGTAGCTTAGCCGGACACGTAGGCCAAGAATGCTGGTGAGGAAGGAAATCAGTAGAAGTGCTCTGGCTGTGGGGAGGGTAATGCAGCAGAAGAGAGGAAAAGAAAATCAAGCTGGAAGGGACTCATGCTGAGTAGTACCTGGAGATATGCAAAATTCAGGACGGTATGTAACCCTCAATGTCACAGGAAATACACACACCTAAAGCCAGAAAAGTGTTGATCCTAGAACATTACATAGGAGTGAATTTGCTTCTAAAATAAACATACGTTATAGACATGGAATACTAATTCTGCTCTTTAAAACTAACAAATTATGATCAGTAGCCTCACAATCTTACCCTGTCCAGGAGTGTCTTAACCATGAGAAGCCATGTGCCAGGGAATCTGCAAAGTGAAAATGATCGCCATTGGCAAAATGTGACCAGAAGTTAAACTTCAGCTTTGAGTTGTCTGGTCTGAACCCGGAAGGAAAAGCCAACTGAGCAGAGATAGTGGCCTTGGGTGTTTTTGTTGTCTGTTTCTTTATGGCTATGGCTCCCATCTGCATGCCCAAATGACTCACTCTGGTCAGAGTGTGGCTGACTTAGGGGATGATTGGCTAGATAAGCAAGTGCTAAAGAATCATTGTTGAGAAATGAATTGAGCCGGAGCCCAGTCCTAGATCTGGTTACCATCAAAGGTAATTCCTGATGACTGGTGGAAAGTATGACTATTTAGTGTAATAACATCAATTCTACAAAGATCGAATAACTTATATGCAGTTGGAATCAACTAAAATAGTAAGCGGGAAAGATTCTATTTTATAAAATTTTCTTGAGTTTGGGAGATTTATATTAGTTGAAACATTAAGGCTGATAAAGTGACTGTTGTGATTCCCAAAGTTCCAGAATATTGGGAAACACAGAAGATGTATCTTTGTTTTGCCCTTCTAGTTCAAGAGCTTTTTACAGTTAAATTTGAGAGAGCCATCCTTTTCTTTCAAAACTTTGCCATAATGAAGACATACAGTAACAAGATAGTAATTTCTTTATTAAAAATTCTGTGAAGGGTGGGGAAAGCTATTAAACACATTTTTGGGCATTTGCAAAAGGATGGACATTAGGTGACATTTAGAGATTATCGTCAACGTTCTGTGGATAACATATGGCTGTGTAGGAAAATATCCTCATTTTTACATGATGGATGTTAAAGTTTTAGAGGTGAAATGTCAAAAAGTCTGTAACTTATTTTCAAATGGTTCAATACATATTATATCCTTATGTAGTACATTAATTAAAATATAGAAAAATATAAACAGTTATTGAATGCTGGTTGTAGATTTATAGGTGTTCACTGTTATCATTTTTTAAATTTTCTGTCTGAAATTTTTCATAATAAAACATTGAAAGAGAAACATTTGAAAAGAAAATACAAGCAAAGATAAGCCTCATTCACCAGTGTATTTTAAAATATTACTGGTGTTCTCTCCGCCCTGAGGTCCTGAGCTCTTTATTTTGTACTGTTTGCCCACTAAGTCATGGGCTAGGAGTGGGGAAGGTGAATATCATCCAATGAAGACATCACCTTCAGCTTCAATCTTCAAAGAGCATTCATTTTAAGACTGTGGCCAAAACAATATTCTGGAAAACAATGACTTCATTTGAAACTGCCACGATTTTTGATGGTCATGTATAGTGTGGAAAGAGCCATATCTTAGAGAGTTATTAGATATTATATGAAAGGAGGTCTCTTTAAGATGGATTAAATCAATTGATATCTTCATACTATAAAAGAAAACAAAGTAGGAATGCCCATTCAATATGGTAAGTATCATTTTAGATATTTAGATGAAGCACCACCCCCTGGGGCTCTGAGGAGCTGCGCAGGCCACCAGCAGCAGACCCCCAACTCTGGCAACCAGGTTGCGTCAGTACCTGGATCCACACTACAGAGGTCATAAAGGCCATTGTTCTGAGCTCCAGAAGATCAAGTAGAAGTGAAAACAGAGAGAGGGCTCTCCAAGGTTCCTTGATGAAAACTAAAGCCCACTGGAAAAGTGAAAATTACTGCAATAAAGGCACACCAGACCACTGTAGTTGGTAAGTTGGAGGAATCACCACCTCCCATCAGAACCTGGACTATCTTCAGGGGAAGGGCAGCTGAACCTGCAGTAGAACCTTGCAGAGTTCAACCCTGAAGGAGGACAGGGAGCTTAACTTGGTCCTTGCAGCCAGAAATTAGCCTGAATCTCAGTGGACTGTGGGTGGCTTGCTGAGACTAATTGACTTAGATCTGCACACTGCTGCCCACATTGTTTATTGTGACAGCAGGGACATACCCTTGAAGGAGGCCCTTAATTTTTATTTTTTATTC